ATCTTTTATAGACCCCTCCCCTGACACGTCCACTCCCCCAAAATCGAAACGTTCACCCCTCCTATCCCTCCCCCAATCTGAATTCAATCTTTCTCCCTAAACTTTTGTTATCCTCATAACCTTTTCTTCCTGATTCACCTTTAATTTTCTTCTTTGCACAACCCCCCAAATTCATCCACCAATCTCTAATTTTCAGAATCCCCAAGAGCACGTGCATCAGCAAAAAGCACTGTGACAAACCCCCCCCCCTTTTTGTGGATTTTTTATCTTTAACCCACGCCTCTTTCCCAAAACCCCCGCATTTACTTCTCACAACCCCCTCTATAAATATATTAAACAACCACGGGGACATCACAATCCCTTTTCAAGGCCCTTTTACGGGAAAAAATTTTTCCCCCTTTTCCCACATACCAACTTTTAGCCTCACTATCCTCGTAAAAAAATCTTCATGCTTTCAGTAACCCACCCCACACCTACACTTGCAAACCCCACATTGCCCCCCCCACCCCCCTTTATACCCTTTTCCAAATCCATAAATGCCACAAAGACCTCTTTAGCCTTATCTAAAAAATGTCACTTATTGTTTTAATTAAAAACCTGGTCCCAAACCCCCCCCTACCTTCTAAAGCCTCCTTGTTCATCTGCTATCCTATTCCCGTTCTCTTAATTTCTTTCAATTTAACTCTACCATACACTTTACCCGGGACACTCAACAAATTATCCCCCTATAATTTTTGCACTCCCCTTTATCCCCCTTTTCCTTTATCAAAGGAACTATGCTGCCTCCTGCCAATCCCAGGTACCTTTCCCCCTTCCCCTACATTTTTTAAATAATTGCCCAACCACTCAAAACTAATCCCCCCCGCTTTTAAAATTTCATCTTTTCCCACAACCCGGCGCCTTACCCCCTTTCATTTTACCTACTGCCCACGAACTTCCCCCCCCACCAAAACTGGCTCTTCCTCACTCCACAAAATGTTATTCTCCCTTTCCCTATACACGAAATCCAGCTTCCCTATCTTCACAAATTTAACAAATTTCCCCAAAAAATTCCTTCCATCTTTCCCCAAAACCTCTAATCTCCCCTTTTAAAAACTCTCCTCTCCTATTTTTTAAATGACAAATCCATTTTTTCTCTAGGCTTTTTTTAACTTTTAAAATCACCCAAAACTTTTTCTTATTTTTAACAAAAATTTGTTTATAACATCTCACCCACTCCTCATTTGCTCTCTTTTTACATTTCTTCACCACTCTCTTAACTTCTCTCTTTTTTTCCATATACTCCCCCTTGCATCAAATTTACTTTTTAAAAACTTCCATAGCTAACTTTTTCTCCCCCCCTACTCTCTTACATCATCATTTTCCCCCAAACGCTTTTCCCCTTTCCTCCTGACCCCTTTCCTGTAACCACAAACTTCTGGAACACTCTAACACTACATTTTAAACCCACCCCCTACCTCTTGACCCCATTTCCTATGCCCATTTCCCATCAAACCTCCAAAAGTGTTTATATTTACCCTAACGCCTCCCCTTTTTTTTTATAAACCTTCACCTCTCTCTTCCCTGATGCTTCTATTTTCCTTGTATCCCACTACCCTTTTTCTCTCATATGCTACAAATAAAAGTGATCTGATAATCTGTGGGCCTCTATAAACATGTACATCCGAAGTCTACTCAACAGTCTTTTATCTACCAAAAATAATCCAACAAAATACTGTATTTCGCCCTAATCATTCGTGTATACTTTTTTATCCTCTTTTTTTTAAAAATGTATTACCTATAACTAAACCCCCCTTTTTATACAAAAATTCAATCAAAGGGGTCCCATTATCATTTCACCGGCACCCCAAAATTACTACCACACCCTCCAAAAAATTTCTTATTTAGCTTCAAGTCCCCTACCACAAATTTCTCTCTCACTTGGTTCAAAGGCCCAAACATCCTTAAATCCCCAAAATCTCTCTTCCTCCTCTGCATTCCTCCCTTTTCCCGGGGCATACACGCTTTTATGCCCATTCTTTTCATCCAACCCCTTTTTTTTTTTAATCCACATAATTCTTGAATTTCAATTCATTTCTCTTTTCTCCCTTTCCTTAACTGATCATTTAACTTTACGCTACCCCTTCCTTTGCTCAAACCTTCAGATCCCAAATTTTAAATTCCCATTTATTCCCCCCACTGAAACTCTCCTCCCCCCCTTCACTTTGTTTCGTTGGGGCCCGGAATCCAACTTTTTTTTTATTCATAACATCACAATCATTTTTTTTCTTGTCCCCGAACAAAACCCCACCCTTTTAAAGAAAACCCCGTTTTATAAAGTTTTTTTTCTTCTCTTTTTTGAATTGTATACAGGAAAAGGGTTACTCCCCCATTGCCCCCGGGCTTTTAGGGCCTATACGCACCAGTTTTCGGGGGAAAGATTTTTTTCCCATTCCCCTTTGGACAATAGAAGAAATAAAAAAAACAAAGCTTTTAAAAAAAGAGAAAAACCTAGATTTTTTATATATATGCATGTGCGTGTCGGGAAAGTGTGCCCAAAAGTGTAAGTGGGAGTAGCAAATATCCTGTTTTTTAGGGGTTTTTATGAGACAGAAAAGAAAGATCTTTTTGTTAGTTAATTTCCCTACTGGAAAAAAATTTTGTTGGGGTAGCAGAACTAGCCTGAAAACGTATATTAGCAACAAATCACCTCCCGACCATAGTCAGGACCCCCCAAATTTTTGTCCACCCAGGTAATTTTTAAATCCCATGAATCAGCCAAGCGAAATCTGGGACAGAGATTTGACTGCAGTTATCGGGTAATTCAAAGGTATATTGAAACTATTTATGATCACTTTCCCCAAGCATCATTTAACCCCAAGATTGAACATTAAAATGGTATAAAATACCGACAGTTGTTTGGTAAGAACATTTGCAAAAGTTAGGGAAACTTTTTTTCGAAAAAAGATTTCCCAACTGTTTCATATTGCTTACCTAATAACCTCAAGATTATTAATTAGGACTTTTTGGCAAGAACCCAAATCAACAGATTGTTTCCTCTAGTTGGTTCTGTCACAACCCGTTCTAAAAAGCAATCCTGAACCGTATCAAGAAAGTCACTGGACTCAAGATTTCCTGTCATATTGTTCCAATCAATTTGTATAAAGTTAAAATCTCCCATTATCACAACATTTTCATATCTAGATACCTTATGAATTTCGTCCCATAACAGCTTACTGCACTCCCTATCAAGGTTTGGGGGCCTATAAATTACACCCAAAATTAATTTGTCACGACCCTCGAGAAACTGTAGCCAAACAGATTCTGTGTTCAATGTTTCTAATCTTATATCATGTCTAAGACAACAATTTAAATTTTTTCTGACATACACCGCCACTCCACCACCCTTCCTGTTGACCCTATCATTGTGGAACAGTTTATAACCCTGTATTTTGCATTCAGAAGGCATTTCTCTATCTTTCAGGTTGAACCAGGTCTCTGTTATACCAATAATACTTAACACAGTGTCGGTAATTCTACCAACATTAATACAAAAACACAGTCACAGTTTTTTCTCGTTGTGCACTGCATGCTGCAGGATTTTCTTTTTTTATAGTGCACACTTACCACAGACCTATTCTTTCATATGAAGGCCCACATTTACCAGTCACAGCTGATGTGAGTGAGCTGAGCTCATGGCGACCGACAGTGGCTTCAAAGCCACATTATCTTTTATAGACAACATATGGCGTATGTGCTTTACACAACAAGAAGCATTTCTTTTATTCGTTGGAACCATGCCTAAGGCTAAAAGTGAGCAGGTTATAACAATAAATGGAGAAAAAGAAATTGGAATGACTTATGCAGCAAGTAGTACCACCAAACAGTAGTGGCAGGTTGTTGTGGCAACCCCAGTAATTTGAAATAATGCTAGCTGAAATTAGTGCCAAATTACTGATGGAATCGGATTAGTGATGGCCAACCTGTATGCTACAATTTTTTAGTTTGCAAGCTGTTCCACATTTTCACTGTTTTTAAATTTTTTTTAAGTTTCTGTAGAGGCTCAAATGAACATAAGGAATATCAAAAAGGGATAATATGTTTTAGGTGGATTCCTGTGTATCTGTTACAATTTTCTGGAGTACTTTTAGATCAACATCAACATTACAACAGTTTTCTGAAATGTGGCATGAACAATAAAAAAATGAATTTCCTTTTTATTAAGAAGATTCAAGGACTTTAATTACAATAGAGTACATTGCCCATAATCAGAGTTCGTTTATAGTTCTAATTTGTTGCCTTTTTTTCGAGTGATGACTGCTTTGAAGTGGACTGCCAAAAACAATCAACAGGCACAAATCCAGTAAGAGGTAGGGGTAAGTTATGGAAAAGTATATTATTAGTAGTATGAACGGGGAAAAAAAAGTGCATTTTAGAGAACCCCCCTACAAATCTGATGCATATTTTTTTTTTTATTTTTGGGGTATGTGTTGAACATAGCCATTAAATATTTTTAAAGGAGTCGGGGCCTTTTATCAAGGTCTTTAGCAAAGAGTACACTTTTTTAAAAGCGGGGGTTGCTTATAGGTCAGTACAGATGGGGAAAAGAAACAGGTCAGAATGGTACCTTGGGACACCTGAACTTTTAAAAAGGTACTTGAAGTGTTATTTTTATTACTGAGATTGGCCAAAAAAACTTTATGTGTCCAGAATCTATAGTGGTTAAGCTTGACAAATAATGCGTGGTCGCAGGTAAAAAACTTTTAGCAACTAACATCAGGTATAAAAAGTACATTGTACAAACATGTCAAATCACAAAAGAGAAATAATGATAAAAAGGTCCACAGAGGGTTTAACAGACAAAGAATAGCCCAGAACAAAATTTTTTTAGATTCCCTGCGGGCTTTTCTGTAAAAACAATGCTTTGATTTTCTCAGAAGGAAAAGGGCATCAGTTTTTTTAAGCAAAAAATATAAAATAATTAGCGACACTACAGAGGTCTAAGAGATGAAAAAACTTACCTTCATCATTTTGATGAGTTACTTGTCCAGATGTAGCAGTTCCTCGTAACCCTTCTCACTTCTCCACTTTCTTTTTGGCAGTTCCATTTTCTGGCTCTAATTCAACTAAAACTCAGGAAAAAAAAAATTTTGCATGTCCACTGATAAAACTTTGTTTTATTTTGGGGGGATAAAAATTTTTTTTTTTTAAAAGTAGGGTATTTCCCCTACTTCATCTAACTGGTTTGGGTAATTACCCCCTTTCACGCCAGCCCCAAAAATGAAATTTGCTTTCAATGTCCAACAAAAAGTTTTTTTTTTTTTTTCAGAATGGTAAAGAATATTTTTCTAAAGGTAATGACCCCAAAAAAAAAATCTGATAGAAACTATGGAATTATAGGGGTGCAAAGAAAGGGGGTCTTGGTGCATTTTATGCCCCGGGTGATATGCCCACTAATTCTATTTTAAATGAACTCCATTATTCCATCAACCAAAGTCTTGGGCTATTTCGCTGATGATGACTGCCTTTCCATTCTATTAAATGAACAAAGAAACTACCCATTCAACTATTTTAACTACCCATAAATGATAGAATTCAGTAATTTGGAAAATTTTAACAAAATTTAAAAAATACCAATTTAAAAATAGCATATAAAAATGTAGATTTTTCCCTCTTTTCTTGATGTCCCCGGGCCCTCCTATTTTACACTTCTTCCATTTGAATTTTTTTCACACAAAACAAAATTTTACTCTTTTTATCAAGAAATAATTAAAAACTAGAAAGAAGACATGGTTTAAAAGCATCCCCATAACTGAATAAACCCTTTTAAAAACCATAAAAAAAAATTTAAAAATGTTTTTAAAAACCCTTCTCCTGTTTTTATTAATAATAAGAAAATTATTTTTATCCTCAGGTCAGTACAAGGTATACGGCCCTAGTGACATAAATGACATATAACATTGACCCCCCGTTTTCATCGTCTTTTTTGCCGATTTCATTTTTGGCCTACTTTTTTCGCTGATTTTTGGGCTCTTTTTCATCAATTACCCCTTTTTTCGTCATATCAAAACCCCGGCAGTGCCGGGCACCAACAAAGCCCCTCCCACCCATTCCACCCATTAGTGTTGTTTTTTGGTGGGGAACATATCCTTCCCTGGTCATACAAAACATTTCGTAATAATCCATTTTTTTTACCATTTGTTTATGGTGTGACTGCTAAATAAGCCCCCATGGCCAAAAGAAAGTCCTTGCCGTTCTTTGGTAAAGAAAGTGAGGAACCCCGTAAAATACAAAAGAAATCCAAAAGAAAATATGATAATGGGCATGCGCATTGCTGAAATCGGCAGGAGTACAGGAAGTTTTCATCAAAAATCCTCCTTTTGGCTAAAAAGAAATCATGGAAGCCCAAAGTTGCGAAAGGGGGGAATGTGATAACCAAACAAGATCCAAAAAAAACGAAGTGGGGAAAATTTTTTTGGTGTAATCAGAGAAAAAGTTTGCAGGAGATTTGTTTGTGCACTCAATTTGCCCGTACAGTAGGGCCCCCCTTTACAGGTTTCGTTACGGCGTTCCACTAATACGGCATTTCAAATTATGACCCAAAAATCGCTTACCTCCCCCCCCGATTTCTAATACAGTCACTGTGCCCCACCGGGTTTTTTTACATTCTCTGTGAGATCCCAACACTAAGTCCCCCCTTATGTCGGAAAAAACAAAAATTTCAAGTGTTTTTAAAAGTTTTTTTTCAAATTTTTTAATTACTCCGATAATTTATACTTTTGTATCCTGTACCCAAAAAAACTTCACACTGTGCGGCGGCAGGTACACATTAAATAGTAAAATGTCTTTTGTCTCAGACGTCATATTAGTAAGATGATATAAACATCAGTCTCTTAAATTCATATATTACATTAAATAATATTTCGTTAATCCATCTATGATATTTTTTCAAAATTATAATTAAAAACACATGATAACATATAAAAGGGGATAAATAACTCCCAGTAAATAAAAAAACATAAAAAGAATGGGTAGCCAAGACTTGCACAAATGATCCATATTTGAAATTAATTATTTTTTTATTATCACACTGGCCGATTCCCCCAAGGCAGGGGCCCGAAAAAAAAAATTTTACACATTCATCCCTCATGTCTTGCCAGAAAAGGGGGCTTTAACTACAGTTTTTTTAAAATGAACATTAAAACCCCCCCTTAAGGGGCAGGGCCGTACTTCCCATCTCCAGGGCTCAAGTCCGGCCTGCCGGTTTCCCTGAATCCCTTTTATAAATGTTACTTTGCTCCACTCCAACACACGTCAAGTATTAAAAACCTTTGTCTCCATTACTCCTATCAAACACGCTCACGATGCCCGCTGAAGTCCAAGCCCCCCGCACACAAAAACCTCCTTTACCCCCTCCCCCCCAACCCTCCTAGGGCCCACCCCCCACCCCGCCTTTCCCTTCCCTACGACTGATACACCTTGAAGTTTTTTTCTGTTTCGCTCCCTTCTCTTACATGTCCGAACCCCTCAAAAACCCTTCCTCAGCCCTCTGGACAAAAAGTTTTTGGGAATCCCGCACCTCCCCCCTAACTTCCAAACTACGAAAATTTTCTGCTTATATTCACCCACACATTGCCCCCAGACTTTACTCTCCACGCCTCCCCCTTCTCCTCGCGCAACATTCACACCCATGCTTCACCCCATATAAAAACGTTGGTAAAACTATATCTCATACATTCCCCCTTTGCCTCCAAGGACAAAGTTCTCTGTCTCACAGATCCAATGAAAAACTCACTCTTTTTCCCATCAAACTATGATTCACCTCATCTTTTAAGACCCTCCCCGACAGCCCCTCCCAAATATCTGAAATTGTTCCCCTTCCCCCTACTCCTTCCCCCAATCTGATATTTAATCTTTTATCACCAATCTTTTTTTTATCCTCATAACCTTTCTCTTTCCCCTTATTCCCTTAATTTTTTCTTTTTTGCACACCCTACCAAATTCATCCCCATCTCTGCAGCTTCTCTTTAAAATCTCCCCAAAAGCACAGTGTCATCAGCAAAACAGCTTTACAAAACCCCCCCTGTGGGTTTTTCTTTATCTTTTAACTCCACGCCTCTTGCCAAGACCCTGCATTTACTTCTCTTCAACCCCTCTATAAATATATTAAACAACCAGGTGACATCACACATCCTTGTCTAAGGCCTATTTTTCGGGAAAAAATTTCCCCTCTTTTTTACATACTCTAACTTGAGCCCCACTACCTCGTAAAAAATTTCACTGCTTTTAGTAACCACCTCCCACCCATACCTTGCAAAAATCTGCCACATTGCCCCCCCACCACCTTCAACCCTTTTTCCAAAACCAAAAAGCCACAAAAACCCCTTTTGCCTTATTAAATACTGTTCACTTTATGTTTCACTGTAAACACCTGGTCCCACCCCCTACCCTTTTCCTAAAGCCTCCTTTTCATCTCTATCCTATTCTCCGTCTTTCTCTTAATTCTTTTAAATTTTAACTCTCCATACACTTTACCAGGTACCTTAAAAGATTTCCCCCTATAATTTTTGCACTCTCTTTTATCCCCTTTGCCTTTATACAAAGGAACTATGCATGCTCTCTGCCAATCCCTAGGTACCTTACCCTCTTCCATACATTTATTAAATAATTGCACCAACCACTCCAAAACTATATCCCCACCTGCTTTTAACATTTCTATCTTTATCCCATCAATCCCGGCTGCCTTACCCCCTTTCATTTTACCTACTGCCTCACGAACTTCCCCCACACTCACACCGAGCCTCATTAAATGTTGTATACTACGTTAATATACATTTTCATTAATCCATCCATGATATTTTTTTAAAAATTATATAATAAACACGATACATAACATATAAAGATGATAAATATACCCACAATAGAATAAATAAACATAAATATGAGATGTGGTAGACAGATAACTTGTACAAGTGATGGCAAGAATAACACTTTCTCTAGTCTAACATAAGAGAAAATGTATTACTGTGGGTAACTGTAGAAAATTATTCCTTTCGTACGTAAGTAAGTTTATTCAGGTATACACAAATGCAGTTACATAGATTATCATACATAACAGCATGTGTGTAGAGAACCTAGGATAACCCAAAAAAGTCAGAGTGACTTATTTCTATTGCCTTCACTCAGAGCGTCATTTCTTCTAAAAATGGTGTTACATGAGAATGGGAGTGTTCTTCTTTATTTATTCTACCGTATAAATGTAGAGACAACTTGTACACAATGTAACTTGTACACAAACTAGACGTGTACACTTTGTTTACAAAACTTACGTTCGCCTGGTTTGTTTACATAACTCTGCGCCTGTCCTCCCTCATGTGCTGACTCTTTCTCTCTCTCTCTCTTATTTATTCGTTTTATCTCATTTACTCACTCCTGACCCTAAATTAAGACTACAAATACTTTAAGGTAAGTAATGAGTGAACTGTATATGCACTTTATCGCTCTGGGATGCTTAAATATCATAGAATATATGTGTGGGTGGAATGGCCTGGTAATGGTAGCCCGGCTGGCTACCATACATACCACACTTGATTTTTTACAATAAATACTACTCATCTCACCCTAGATTAAGACTACAAATATTTTAAGGTAAGTAATGAGTAAACTGTATACGCATTTTATCGCTCTGGGATGCTTAAATGTAATAGAATATTATGTGTGGGTGGGGTGGACTGGCATGGTAGCCCGGCTGACTACCATACATACCACACTTGATTTCTTACGATAAATAGTACTACTCATCTCACCCTAGATTAAGACTATAAATATTTTAAGGTAAGTAATGAGTGCACTGTGTGTGTATTGTACTTTTTTATTGTTTTTTGATGATTAGTTCTATTGCTAACTTAATATATGCTAGTGTAAACTTGTTATCTAGTATTTGTATGTATTTATAAGGAAAAAAAAAAGGGTGTTCCACTTTACGGCAGTAGCCTGGAACCTAACCTGCCATATAAGTGGGGCCCTACTGTATATCAAATAAATTTTCCTCATTGAAATTAACT